GAATTATGCTTTTGCTCATCTCTACTTCAGACCTGCTCTGCTACTTTTTGTATTGTCCATCTGTTATCTTTCAAAAATCTCACTATATAGCTGGTCTCCAGCATATGCATTAGATGCTGATGTCCTAAGAAAACTACCTTAATAACAAGTATAATTTTGCTGGTGAAAATCATGGCTGTACTGCAACCAGCTAGACCAGCGTATAAACTGGTCATAGTGCATGGAAAGCATCATATGCATTGTCTATCACAGGCATTACAGTGCTAACAGTGGCTCCAGTCAGCAGACAGCATGGCAAACGCTCCGTTCAAATCAATCAACATGCCACTAGACATACCACGAGACATTAATTCCTTTCAGGCGAGTACAGCCAGCTCTGGAAAACAAGATCTCCAGGATGGAGTCCAGAGAGGCGCTCCCAGCACACATTTGCCTTAAAGCACCTCTGGAGGAGACGCTAATCAGATTGGGAATTTGTGGATTTGTTTCAGAACAGATGATTTGGTTTAAAAGCAGGTCTTTGTTTAAATCCTGGCTCCATCTCCTCTCGGTGGAAGTAGACAGGACTCTCACTTTGATATTTACCCTCACTGGAATTTGTGGTTATAGAGCAAATAACATTCTGATGTGCTGTTCAGAAGGTACAGTGGTGCAATATCACAAACACTGAGTATTGGTTCTACAATTTTAGGAACAAGACAAGAGCTGTAATATTAAGAGGCGAGCAGCTTTATCAGACAAAACTGCCTTTATTGTAATTAAGACCATTGAAGCTGTCGTAAGCTGCTGTTAACACCACTATGAGATAACAGAGATAACCATGCTAAGCACTGCCATGAAGATGTGTAAAAAAAAACCTATATAAGACTGTTTCAAGAGCACTCTAAAGAGCCTGATTTTAAATTTAAACTCAAGTTACATACGGTCCACAGCACCTTGCATTGAGCATAATGGCCTTGATATCTTGTGATTTCCCAGCAATGCCATCCCGTGATGGACCGGCGACCATTGGGTTTTTGAGTGTGTAGCAAGTGAGCTATGTTTCAAAATGCCAAAGATATGGGAGATAAACTGTCAGATCTGTTAACGACCTCAGACTGTGAATGAGGGGGAGGTATAAATTAATGTAGCTAAATGAAGCCACTTATCTTTGCTAGCATTCCTACAGAGCCACTGCCAACACTGCAGGAGCCCAATAGAGCGTGGCGTTGAGAGCTGAGGTCATGATATAACGCTCTACAGAGGCCTTCTCTCTGCAGGCCTGCGCTATTCTCTCGATACAAGGCCACTTAGAGCGTATCACATCAGTCAACAAGTGCTGTATGCTGGATTGCTAACTGAAGAGCAGGAAACATGGGAGGTATTTCAGGCTACCCGCACCAGGGGTTCAGATGGGATGAGCATGATTCATATGTTGAATTATGCTTTTGCTCATCTCTACTTCAGACCTGCTCTGCTACTTTTTGTATTGTCCATCTGTTATCTTTCAAAAATCTCACTATATAGCTGGTCTCCAGCATATGCATTAGATGCTGATGTCCTAAGAAAACTACCTTAATAACAAGTATAATTTTGCTGGTGAAAATCATGGCTGTACTGCAACCAGCTAGACCAGCGTATAAACTGGTCATAGTGCATGGAAAGCATCATATGCATTGTCTATCACAGGCATTACAGTGCTAACAGTGGCTCCAGTCAGCAGACAGCATGGCAAACGCTCCGTTCAAATCAATCAACATGCCACTAGACATACCACGAGACATTAATTCCTTTCAGGCGAGTACAGCCAGCTCTGGAAAACAAGATCTCCAGGATGGAGTCCAGAGAGGCGCTCCCAGCACACATTTGCCTTAAAGCACCTCTGGAGGAGACGCTAATCAGATTGGGAATTTGTGGATTTGGGGGGGGGGTGCACTTTATTATAATCCCATCTGATGGCTGTGGTGTGCCATCTGATCTGGGGGTGATTTCATACACCTTCAAGCAGAGCCAGCTGAGTGTTAATGAGGAGGAGACCTAATGGATTGAACTCCTCTGATGTTCTGAGCCAGAGACTTACGCTTTTTAAAATGCACTCCCCTTATTTCAAGCTTTGCTGTGTGAAAGGAGGGCTTCTTAATTCTTACAAGTCTAGAAGGAGGCAAGACCTCGCTTTCCTTTCCTTTCATCTGGCCCTGGCTCTCCTCTCTTAGCCCGCATGTCATTTAAGAGCGGTTGTCATAAACCAGCCTAATTATTTTGGCTGCAGGAGTGAGACTGCCATGCAGTACTGTACTGGAAGTGTCTGCACTTATAGCCAACCAACAATGGTGTTTGAAGGGCACCGTTACCCGATACTGAGCACAAAATGATTGGTTGTCATAAGGTTACATGAATGACAGACGTCTGAGTGATAAATTACCACAGGAGGGTATAAGAGAGTGAGGGGGGAAACTGATACATGATAATTGGTACTTCAACCAAAGGCTTTCCATTGTGTAGGATGTGACTGCCAACTGCTTAGGTATGCTTACACAATCGATCAACAGTTTAGATACACTAGACGTAATGCCAGTTCCAATAAAGCAAACAGACTCTGGGATCCCACAAGATCATTACTCCACAACAGCAGTGATTGCATACTTTTTAACACTATATGGTTTAACATGAAGTCTCACAGTGGGTGCTCTTGTGCCCTTCAATAAAGCTTTTATGGGGTCAAAGTAATGAATGATGTGAGCCTTTTGGCTCCAAAATGACATTCCTTAAGCTCCGACAGAGGCTGTTCCATGTGTCAAAACTGTCAGCATTTAGCAAGAATGGAAGAAAAGAGACATTTAGGCTTGACTTAAACCATCACAGTAACAGCAAAGTGTCTGGTGACATAGTAACTTCCCAAAGCCCTCAAATTCCCACCTGCCCCATAACTCATTCACTCCAATAGAGAAAACATTCCACCTGCGAGAGCTGTCCAAACAGACTCACAGGCTCTGAATTTTGAATTTCAGATGTAAATTTTGCTAACTATCCAGTACAGAGATCATTGGATAACAATGCACTCAGAAGGCAATGTGGGCATTGTGGACAGCACTGAAAAAACTCTCTACGAGGTAATGGGAGTTGACTTTAGGCTCATTTGTGTCAGTTCATCTGACTGAATGCTTGTATATGCTTTATCCTACAAACAGCATTACCCTTTTGCTTAGCGTTGGCCCTTAAGTCGGATTGATAAATGTATGGGGAAACGTAATTAAAAAACATTTTCCCCATTCACAACTGTGACACTTTTTATTCTCGCCATGCAATTATCACAGGTGCTCTACAGACAGGTCTGAGTCGTACAGACCAGCAATTTGTCATGGAGCATGAGATGTATGGAGGAAATAGCTGAGCTGTTTTATGGCCTCAAATACAATTAGTAAAATGAACATAGTAGACTGCTGAAATTAAGATGTGGCCCTCATGGCTTTTATGGAAAACATATCACAATTGCAATTCCTCACAGGCAACAAGAGCAGTATTTCTCCGTAATAAATTAATTCAGCATCAGTGAGATGAGCTGAGAGAGCTCTCTTTTATGAACAGCCTGGAAACACATATATCAGCAAGTGCAGAAGAAAGTATTTTTGTGAAAATAAATAAATCATTGTGAAATACTCTGGCTTTGTTTGGAAACTGGGAACAGACCCCACATCCTTTCCAATCACGACTTAACATTGCACAGACGCACATCCAAGAACATCAAAACAACTACAATTTAATGATGGGGCCAAAAAAAAAGAAACAAGTTGGAGATTTTTTGACTTCCCTGTCTTATATTGCGTCGCTCCATACCACAGTTTGTACTTACAAATCCAGCGCAACATCATACAGCATACGCTGCTGGTGACTTGAGCCAAAGACACCCACCTAATGGGCACTTGCACGGCTCACTGGACAGCGATGTCCACCGGGAAGGTTTTTTTATTTGTCAAGTCTACACAAGCTGACAGAAAGAGTCCATCTGTAGTCTTCAGAAATGCAGTTTGTATGAGCTCTGTTTTCGATTAACAAACTCATCACCCTCCCCATCAGCTAAGCAAAGCGCTCTACGATCGAGGGGAATGGCCTTCAAGAGAAACAACTCTCACCACATTCATTTTCCCAGTTGAGCACTCTGGCACAAAAAGGCAGAGAACTTCAGCTAACATCTGTAGCTGAGTTAACGTTTATGACATTTCGTTGTAAAATCTCTGCAGCCTGCATTTGGTGGTTTGTACTACAGTATTTGCAAGCTTGAATTCTTTTAATTTGATTGAAAAAGACAGGACGTTGTAGTTTAGCTTGGTGGTGTAAACCACCTAAATAAACATTTACAATCAGATATATGCCTCTCTTAAGTGAATTTGTATTACCATGAAGGTTTATTATGGGAATCCTGTGAATTACTAGACTACCCAAAAGCTACCCAAAGTACTGGTTATATCATGTTTTTATTTACTCACAGAAATGTTTTCTCAGAAATAAAACATCCTTCTTTAGGTTCGAAAATGACCTGGATGCTATTAGGCAAAAGCAAAACATACTCAAATATGGATAATGTGAATGTCACCACTCCAAATGTGGCCCAGATTCCTCAGCAAACAGGCATGGTGGTAATGCTCAGGATCTGAGTGATGTCTCTGAATTGCTATTGATTTTTTTTTCTTTTTTGAGTTATGCATAATAGAGTATGTATAATAATGCTTTGTAATCTTCCATGTTATGCCAGCATGCCAGGCAAAGGTAAATGTAATGAGACTCATTACACTGAATGTATGGCTGCTCGCATATTATTACTATCCTATAACCTCCAGTGAAAATGCACAACTAAAATCAGTAGTAAACATGACCACCTGCAACGCCCATCGGTTGCACAAGTCCTCTAACTTTACTCTCTGCACAATGCACACTTCTGGTTGCTACAAAATGTGCAGAAAAAAAGCCTACACCAGTAATGTTTCTCAGGATCTTCTATACGAGCCATCAAAGTGCACACCTACCTCCTTGCAGTGAAGGACTCAGCTGTATTGTGAGGATGAATCCGAGAAGGAGCAACACAAACCTCCTGTTAGCCATCTCGCCCCAAAATGCACTGGCCCTCCCCGAATCAGCTGGTTTTATTCTCCAAGAGCTAATTACCACTTCAAAAATGTCTCAAAAAAAATGAAATGGGGAGGAAAAGAGAAAATAATACTGGACACGACGTAATTAGGAAAGGGCAAAGCATTTGGTTCGATGGATCATTGCACTTTTTTCTCTTCTATGTCTGGTGTTGCTGTTTTTATTCTGGTCACTCCTGCCAAAAAAGCTGAGTGCTGCCAGAGAAAGAAAGAGAGTGAGAGAGAGAGAGAGAGAGAGAGAGAAATAGAAAGAGACATGCAGGGAGGAAAGACATGAGAGAGGGGAGGGAAGAGAAGGACGAGAGAGAATAGGAGAGACAGGGAGAGCGAGAGACCCGCTTTCCCACTCTCTCGTCCAAGAGGAATTTCACAGTCTTGCCAGACATTTGCATGGACTTTAAGAGGACTTAACTTTTTTTATGTGAGCAGAGGAATAAAACAAAATCAGTACTCAGATAATGATGTTCACTCCATCGCTGGGTTTCTTCCTTGCAACCACTCACACACAAAGCATCGTTCCTCAAGTAGTTACAACCATTCTCATTCCTTTAAAATGACGAGTCTTTTCTTCCAACGGCTGCTCAGTAAAGGGAAACTTGACCAATGTTTGTCTAAGAGACTTGGGGGAAATAAAGCCCATTGTTCTGAGAAAGTTATGTTGAATGCTTTGTAATGCATCTATGACACCTGCCAGGAGTAACTGTACTGGCACTCATTACAGATGAAAGTGTGACTGCTTGCATGTTATCAGTAATAAAAGACCTTCATGAAGCATTTAAAAAATGCACGCAAACTTGTTGCAATCAGAAAACTAAATAATAGAAATGAAAGGCTAGACATTAGTGGTCAGGTAAAAAAGAAAGAAAGAAGGGCAACTCTTGCTCAAAAGAGAAAAATCTGGGCATGCTACAAGAAAGCGATCATTCTCATAAACATGAGCATTCTGCACTTGTAACGAGTGAACGAGAGTCAACAGAAAGAAAGACAACTGATGGGACGGAGAGATGCTCTGGGATGGCCAAACTCGGTACAGCTCAGCTACTGCACTCTTCCCAAACATAATCCTGACCAAATATTCAGATGTGTGCAACGCATTTTACGGAGGACAAGGACTGTTTCCTGTGAGAGTAGCCTACAATGCTGGTGTTCCGGTGAATTCAGTTCCCCTGTTTCCCCTTCAGTGAGCATGCTGACCACAGTCTATGATGCTGACAAATAATGCTGACTCACAGCCTGTAAGTACGTTTTCATATTTAAAGGATTTGCCACTGATGATTCAAACGCGAGTTTTGGGCAGTGTAGAGTAGCGCTTGTTGTTTGTCGTTTCTCCGATCACAAATGCAGACATGGTTTTATGTTTACACGGCGCGATGCAACACAACGCGTAAAAAGACAGTATAAGTAATTATAATCAGAAATTATGTCCCCACTGGATGCAACAAATGCATCGTTTATAACGGGTTTTATTGGTTTTGTCTCATCGCGCCGGGACACGGCATCACAATATGTTAAAAAAATAATGTTCTTTTTTAGCAACGTCATATGACCCCTTTAAAACCTTTCAAAGAAAGCTGTATTAAAGCAACACACCCTGCTTGCTTGTATATGCGTACAGGACATTTAATATTCATTATTTATCCCTTTAACTAAGATCATGACTTATTTGACTGTAACAATTAAGGCTGTTGGTCACATGCAAAAAGAGGATGTGTCCAAAACACAAAATCTCTATGGACTAGGTGAAATGCCTCAGTATCATCATCATCATCATCATTATCATAAAAATTTTTTTTAAAAACTCATAGCCAAGTCCAAGTTTTTTTTTTTTTTTTCAATATTTTTCAGTTGGAGGAGCCCTTCAAAGCATGGTGAAGATGATTTCCTCAAGGAAGCTTTGTCTCCACAGACTTGAATGGCTCCAGTGTAATTTTTCCCAGAAATGATGTAAGATGGAAAGAAGGGGGTAACATTGAAATCCTCACTGCTAATGAAACAGATAGATAAAGATACACAAACAGACAGATAGACAGAGATGGTCCTGAGTTTTTAATCAACAAGCCTAATGAATTAAAAAAATCATTATTTTTCCCAATAGAACATTAACTTAACACCAATTCAGGACATTGGTCTACATGTCTGCAGTAGATTTACCCTCTGATGCATGGTGTTCACTAGACAGATCTTTAAAAGCCTTTTTAACCATTCCATACAACCATGACTACACTGTAACACATTTCCACATACTTCCTTAAAATTTTAAGTATTATCAAATTGGCTGTACAAGTCATTTCAGCCAATTATATTAAACTGACTTAAAAAAAATCGAAGTTGAAATTTGTTAAATAATTTTGATGAGTTAAAAGTAATGGGAAAAAAATATGTCCGCTTTAGTCCTGTGTTTAGCTTATGGATAATAACTTTTGCCTAATGAGCCTGTGTTAAGGCACTGATTGCATTTTTTGAAAGTCAAATGACTTTTGCTCCTTTTTTGTCTGCTTTTCTATTTAAGCTCATGTCTGGTGCTTGTCCTTTCAGCATGTTGGAGATGCCAAAAGACTCAGCTTGTTTATGAATCCAAGGAGCATGTGAATATTATCCAGACCTGCATTTGTCAAATAGTTAAGTTATTAAAACATTCAACAAATTCATTCTAAAAGTCTGGACACATCTCAGAATGTTTGTGGTTATATCTTGGAAATAATAGGGCAAGTTTAGTTCCCTTTCGTGGAACTTCGAACTGCGTCCTCTAGGGGTCGCTATGGGGAACGCCTCGTCGTGACCCGTGTCTGAAGCCTACATTGAAAAAACACCAACTTGTTTGGCCGGCGACAGCCATGACGTCACTACCGTCGCGACTAGTACAAAATAGGCGCCGGTAGCGCACATCATTCTCTTCTTCGTCTTCACTGACCGGTCTGTTTGAAGCGTGCATTCCAAAAAGCAAAGTAAGAGCTTTTTCTTTCCTACTATGGCGAGCACTAGCGAAGCGTTTAGAAAGTGTGTACATCCGTGTCAGCGGTTCCTGACACCCGATGATTCACACGATCTATGCGTTGTTTGTTTGGGCGAGGAGCACGCACACGATGTCCTCGAGGGGGCAATCTGTGTGCACTGTGAGAGCTTTTCTCTGAAGAAGCTCCGCTCTCGTTTGTCTCTCTTCTCGAGGGGAGAGGGACAACCATCGGTTTCCCGCGGTTCAGGACCCGCCGCTGCTGAGGCACGGAGGAGAATGAGCTCGTGGGGATCTCAGGTGGACCTAGCCGATGAGGCTGAAAGGGGGGTTCCCCTCTTCCGCGCATCGGCGTCGGGCGAGAGACAGCCGCTGGACGATGATATCCTCTCTCTAATATCATCTGATCCAGGGGCCAGTGCTCAGTTGGGCCCAGCCCAACAAGAGCAGGAAATGGATGTGGAGAGTGAAGAAGCTGAGGCTGAGCTTTCCCAATCCACCTGCCCTGCGTATGATGAGCTGTTAGAGGTAATGGATCGAGCCACGGCAAGGCTCGAATTACCGTGGAAACGGGCCAAGGAGGTGACGTCGCGAGGTCGCCTCGACGAGCGGGGTCTGTTGAGGCAGTTCCTTCAGCACATACAAAGAGAAACGTGCGGTAGCCCCTGTGTGACAGGTCAAGACTAGTATGATTCTAGGCTCTTGGTCGTATTCCCTTAAAGGAATCTATTTCTGATTTCAAGCCTTGAGCTCTACCCCGGGCCCAGGAGTCTGGCCCTAACAGGTAAGTATTTTGGGGTATGTAGCCTAGGCCTTTGGCCGTAGGGAATAACGTCACTGACAGCTGTCTAACGTCCCAGGGGCGACTCCCATAGCGATATGGTAGAGTTGGTACTTAGTGCTCGCCATGGTTCTGGCTTGCACTCCCCTCGGCATGGCGGCGTGGGTAAACCGTTCCCCATAGCGACCCCTAGAGGACGCAGTTCGAAGTTCCACGAAAGGGAACGTCTCAGGTTACTTGTGTAACCATGGTTCCCTGAGGGGAATGAGACACTGCGTCCTCTAGGTTTCTTGCCATGCTTCGGACGCAAGGTTCAGACGAAGAAGTGAATGATGTGCGCTACCGGCGCCTATTTTGTACTAGTCGCGACGGTAGTGACGTCATGGCTGTCGCCGGCCAAACAAGTTGGTGTTTTTTCAATGTAGGCTTCAGACACGGGTCACGACGAGGCGTTCCCCATAGCGACCCCTAGAGGACGCAGTGTCTCGTTCCCCTCAGGGAACCATGGTTACACAAGTAACCTGAGACGTTCACTTTTGGTATTACACACAGGATTGCATATTTTTGTAGCAGAAAATTAGCTTGTTTTAAATATTGTTCCTTGTGTTTCATAAAGAAGCGGATAATTGCTCAATTGCCTGCAATCACAGCTAGATATGCACTGTAGTGGTACTGCAGAAAGATCTGGAAACTCTTGCAGTTGTGCCGTTACAGGTAAGGATGAGCTCAAGATAGACTATAGACAGTAGAAGTATGACAGTGACAGTATGGCTTCCAGTCGTTCATGAAGTTGTGTGCCAAGTCCACTTGGGGATTATGTTAAACTAGGTATCTGCGGGGCTTCTTCATGATCTACAAGATAAGTCCTTTCAGTGGACATGACATGCGATTTAATATGCAATTATTTTTTAAAGCTTGTTATGTTCTGTATTATTCAATAAAGACAAGCTATAAATCATTGTATGGTATGACCAACACAATATTAGATAGATTAAACATAAATGTTATTTTCTGTAGGCCAGGCCTATATGTTACGATGAAATTAGGTGATGCATGAATTGATATGAATGACATTTTTATTTAACAACTACAATCACAGTATATTGACTGATTTGTTGAACTTCCAACCTTGTAAGCATGTAATAATTGACAACATAAAGCAAATAACAAATAAGCACAAATAAGCCTGGTGTAAACATTAATATGAAAGTCAGTAACAAATCACACAAACTAAAGTAGATTGCAGAAATATAAAAACAAATCTGTTGCTTTACCACACTACTTTAGGTACTTCAAAGTCACTGTAATAAACATGTAAACATGTGGACTGCACTAAACACTGTCTGTTAACTTTAGACCAGTGGTTCTCAAACTTTTTTGGTCGCGCCCCCCTTTAAACCTATAAAAAAATCTGCCCCCCCACCCTTCCCGAATCCCCATCCCACCTCAGAC